ATATCACTATGTAAACTTGAGTGGCTACTGTCTCTTCTTTAGTTCTTCGGCTTAAACCTGAACTCCAAATTTTCACCTAAGGTCCATAGTACACAACTGAGACCTGACCCAGGCTAATGTATTATGATAAACCCTTACTAAAGATTTGGACATAGCCAGATAGGACTGAACACAGAAAGCAACAGAAAGCTAGATAAACTGAAAGTAAATCACTTCATTTCAGGATCTCCCACAGAGGTAGCACCTTGCTGCCTAACCTCTTGGGGGAAGTCATCTTTCCTAAACCACCAGGGAGCATCATCAATCAATCAATATACTTCGAAGTCCAAAAAGACTGATCTCATAGGGAGTCAAGAGTTCTCACTGAAGTCCAAGACCCACCTTCGAAAAGACCCTGCTACCTGTCTGAGGAATTGCCCCTTCCAGATGATCGATATGGGGGATGCCACTTTCTTTAGAGGGGACATGCCTGTCTCTAGGATTATCATCTTACACTATGGCCTCAACAGTTGAGCCTTAGTAGAACACAACAAAATAAGCCCAACATTCATATAAAAGTTACATATATTTCATAATTCTTAGAAAAGGTGAGACATTTTATATGAGCTCTTCTTAATCTTTCTTTACCCTTAGGCCATCTTCTACTCAGAAGTTACTCTGAAAAGTGAATTTAGATAAAGCCTTAAACTTACCATAGTCCAAATCCAACAAAAAAGACGTATAGCAAAAGAGATCTACCAGACTGAAAGTAAGAGAAAGATTTTGTCAGTGTAAATGAGAAAGAACCACAAATTTATGTTTTCAAAATTAAAAGATGTAAGTAGATATAGAAATGAATAAATTATTGGTTAGTGTTCACTCATGTGTTTTTAATCCTGTAATATGATTAGGTATTTCAAAGTATAGAGACTTTTGATCATGGCTTTAGTACAATTCATAATGGCAGTTCTTCTATTTGTTTCTTTACACTTGTTTCAAGGAATGTAGAGACATATTCTGCCCCAGGGCTCCAGTAGGTTTACCTCTAAGGTGAGGATCTTATGCAGATTTTTTTGAGGGCTCGCAGAGCTTCAGTAAGCAAGAGACTCCAAGTTGTGGCCCTATTTGCCCATTCTAAAAGCAATAGCCAATAACCATTTTTTAAAAGATTTTATTTATTTATTTGACAGAGAGATCACAAGTAGGCAGAGAGGCAGGCAGAGAGGGAGGGGAAGCAGGCTCTCTGCTGAGCAGAGTGCCCTATGCGGGGCTCAATCCCAGGACCCTGAGATCATGACCTGAGCTGAAGGCAGAAGCTTAACCCACTGAGCCACCCAGGTGCCCTGCCAGGAACCATTTTTATGGTAATAGTTACCTGTGAAACTTAGAAAAGCTAACGTGTATTTCACTGACCCACAGCATCCATTTTTCATGGGAAATTATCGTCTTCAGGTTAAGAATTTTAATGGCATCTGTCAGGAGACTGTACATCTCCCTCCAACAATAATAAAAAGATCGTTGTGGTCAGGGCCATATGGGAGATGCTGCATGATAGTTTGTTAATCAGGTCTCTTTACCACTGGGTTTTTTAGAGACATTAACTGTTAATGTGTTTGTGAAGTTTCAGATGTTTTTGACTACAAAATCCTTTGATCTCAGAGGGTCTAAAGAGACTTTTGTGTCACAGATTATGCTTTGAAGAAAACTACCAATACTGGGATAGCATACTTCCATTGGAGAAAGTCATTTGAACTCACTGTCATCATTGAAATCACATTTACCTCCACCAGTGAGTCCTCCTTATCCCCTTCCTTTCCCCCCCACACTGACAAGGGAAACTTCTACCTACTTACTGCCATAGATGGCAACACATTTCTGGGTCATAACATATTTACTTCTTTTTTAAAAATTTTTCTTTAATTTTATTTTTTGTGTGTGTTCCAAAATTCATTGTTAATGCACCACACCCAGTACTTCATGCAATACATGCCCTCCATAATACCCACCACCAGGCTCTCCCAAGCCCCCACTCCCTTCCCTCCAAAACCTCAGTTTGTTTCTCAGAGTCCACAGTCTCTCGTGGTTTGTCTCCCCCTCTGATTTCCCCCAACTCACTTCTCCTCTCCATCTCCCAATGTCCTCGGTGTTATTCCTTATGCTCCACAAGTAAGTGAAACCATATGATAATTGACTCTCTGCTTGACTTATTTCACTCAGAGTAATCTCCTCCAGTCCCGTCCATGTTGATACAAAAGTTGGGTATTCATCCTTTCTGATGGAGGCATAATACTCCATTGTATATATGGACCATATCTTTTTAATCCATTTGTCTATTGAAGGGCATCTTGGCTCTTTCCACAGTTCAGCATCTGTGGACATTGCTCCTATGAATATTGGGGTACAGATGGCCCTTCTTTTCACTACATCTGTATCTTTGGGGTAAATACCCAGTAGTGCAATTGCAGGGTCATAGGGTAGCTCTATTTTTTTTTAAGATTTTATTTATTTATTTGACAGACAGAGATCACAAGTAGGCAGAGAGGCAGGCAGAGAGAGGAGGAAGCAGACTCCCTGAACAGAGAGTCCGATGCGGGGCTTGATCCCAGGACCCTGGAACCATGACCTGAGCCAAAGGCAGAGGCTTTAACCCACTGAGCCACCCAGATGCCCCGGGTAGCTCTATTTTTTAATTTCTTAAGGAATCTCCACTGTTTTCCAAAGTGGCTGCACCAACTTGCATTCCCTCCAACAGTGTAAGAGGGTTTCCCTTTCTCCACAACCTCTCCAACACTTGCTGTTTACTGTCTTGTTAATTTTGGCCATTCTAACTGGTGTAAGGTGGTATCTCAATGTGGTTTTGATTTGAATCTCCCTGATGGCTAGTGATGATGAACATTTTTTCATGTGTCTGTTAGCCATTTGTATGTCTTCTTTGGAGAAGTGTCTGTTCATGTCTTCTGCCCATTTTTTTGATGTGATTATTTGTTTTTTGGGTGTTGAGTTTGAGGAGTTCTTTATAGATCTTGGATATCAGCCCTTTGTCTGTAGTGTCATTTGTGAATATCTTCTCCCATTCCGTGGGTTGCCTCTTTGTTTTGTTGACTGTTTCCTTTGCAGTGCAGAAACTTTTGATCTTGATGAAGTCCCAAAAGTCATATTTACTTCTTTATTTATGTTTTTCTTTGTCCTTATTTGTCTCTTATACAGATTAATACAGTGCTTAACACATAAAGATACTCAAATATTTGTCGAATGGCTATCAAATGAGGGAGAAGTATTGGGAAAAAAGATAAATTCAATCAGAGTAATTTCTTTGTTGCAGATATGACTTAGGGTTCTTCATAGAACCTCAGGTTGTAGAAAGATAAAACGGACTCCCCCATCCCCACCACTGACACACCCACTAGGCAAACACCTATTCCATATTCTTTTGTCCAGGCAACCTTAATCATTACCAAGAGCTCCTGTGAGTGGAACCATAGCTATATAATTCTATTGGATTGTTTCCATAAGGTTTTAGCTCAAGAAAGAAAACATGACTAGGGAAAGGAATCCTTAATTGCATCAAAAAATATGATCAAAAGCAACATTTAAGAAAAGTGTTTCCAGGGAAGAGCTGAGGATGACACCCGGTTTATAGTAATTCATTTTCCCAAACTTCAGAACATGTGATCAAAGCTGATACACATTATCTCAGGCTCAGTACCAGGGTAACTCATTTTTTTTCTTACTTTTTTTGAAGTTTTTATTCAGATGAATAAATAGATGAGGAAGAGCCAAACCTGGGCCAGCCAGGTGTAGACTCTGAGAGTCCTGCTGCCTGATCTGTAATAATCCCCCCACCTTTTTTTAAAACGAAGAAGCTGTGGCCTTTGGCACCTTGAAATTCTAGCATGTAATTCAGGTCTTTTTGAATCAACGTAGGAATATGCATGTTAAAACCTGCAAGAGGAGGACAATGAAACCTCCTCATTAAATGTGGAGGAGGTTGCAAACAGATTAGTTATTAGGCAAATCAGAGTGATACAAGTACTCCTGACAACATGTGTGCTCAGTGCTGGGATCATTCAGTTAATCTGGGCCAGGAATTTAAAAGACTCATAACCAATAAGGCTTCAGCTCTAACCAGTTAATTCTCCTTCCTACCATACCACCAGAGGAGGAAATAGGACTATGAAGTTTCTAATTCCTTCTCCCTCCTCCCATTAAGGTGTGCTAACATTGATACATTGATAATTGTTGGCAGATCTCCCAGAAAGACTGAAAATTTGCTAATTTCACTGGCATATTTGGATGAGGGAAATGAAAAATTCCTAGTGTGGAATCTGCATAAAGAAATAACAAGTGGGCTGTCTGGGTGGCTCAGTTGGTTGGTCAAGATCTTGGTCAGAATCTCAGGGTCCCGGGATCAGCCCCATGTGGGGCTCCCTGCTCAGCAGGGAGTCTGCAGGTCCCTCTCCCTCTGCCCCTCCCCCCACTCTCACGCTCTCTCTCACTTTCTCTCAGATAAATAAATACAACCTTAAAAAAAAAGAAGAAGTAATAAGCAATGTATTTTTCTGAGGAACGGAAGGTGTGGTGACACGATTTTCTAACAATTCTAAACATTTTGTGAAGTTCAACGCAAAGGTCTCATCTGTTTATATAAGAACTCTCCTCCTCCTCTCCCAAGTTTGCAACTTAGAGAAAGTAGAGGGCAGACCTAGGATCCATCATTGGAAGGTGCAACTAGGTGGGGTTTTGGTTGAGGATAAAATTTTCTAACATTCAGAGTTATCTAAAATGCAACCTGGGGTTTCGCAAAATAGTGAGTGTTCCTCCAGTCAATATTATATGAAAGATGGATAAAGACACTAAAGTTCCTTCCAATCCAAAGACACTACTATTCTTAAAGCATAATGAAGACCACAACTTTGAAAACAGGCTAGCTGTCTTGACCAGCAAACCAGTGTCCCATCACCTCTGATTCTTACCTTCTTTGATAATGTTTTCTTTTTTACTTCATTTTTTAAATGAAGTAAGACAAACCACGAGGCTTGCTGTATTATAAACCAACACAACACAGTTAGTACAGAACTGCAGAGGATCCTTAGAATAACAGAGTCATTTGTCGAGGGTCATCAGGGAGAATACTGATAGTATCTTCAGCTTTGCCACATAACAGACAGAACATGGTGTACTCCTGAAATTCATCCATGATACTGAATGTATACTCGTGCCTGGCTATTACATGATGACAATTCTTACACAGATGATCATAGGTAACTATTTCTTCTCCATCTTCCTCTTTCAAAGATTTGTTTGTGATCAGCATAAAATCCCGCTTACTACACACTGCACAGCCTGTAAAGTTCAGCAAGAAAGATCCATTTTCCAGGCAGATGTTACCCCGATTTGGATACTCCTTCTCCACACAGCCCCCACACATCCCGACGCCGTTCTCGAGGACTGTCCTTCACCGCTTCCGGGAAGACGAAACATCGCGAGAGCAAAAGGAATGTTGTCAGAACCTGAGAGGGAGGTGGGGTTGAAATGTAGAAAAAACATCATACCTCCGGAACAGCTGAAACATCTTGAACTCATACATACTCACTGTTGGATATTTTAACAGAAAATGTAAAAGTTGTTCTCTGTTTCCAAAAGGAGGAACCATGTTGGAATAAATATTCTTTGGTCACCAGAGCTGTGAGAATCCCCATCATGAGAAGAAAGCTAATTGGGAATCACCATATTACTCCACAAAACTAATTTTCAAACTTATTAAGTCTTTTAATAACAGTCTTTGAAGAAAGGCTTAAAAAATGAATTTTAATCTGATGGTTTCCAGCCATGTTACTTTTGTAATGGTATATATCATTAATAATATCAAAGAATAAGGTTTTTTATAACTTTAAATTCACTCCTGACTTTTTTAGGCACAGGTTAAATTCCTCAAGTTTTTGAACCCTATATTAATATATATGACTTTATCAATTGTACCTTAACTCTTCTTGTTTTTTAACATTTATTGAATACCTATTTTATGCCAGCCACTATGCTAGAAGCTTTCACATAATTTGCATTTGCGTAAATAGTTCTAGAGCAGTGAGCTAGAAAGTAGTTTAAATTATCAGTTTATAGGAAGGCTTCAGAGAATTTGTAAAGCTAAATAATTATGTAATAGTAATTATAATAATGATAAATATCTAGGTCCATATTGCAGTTTATATCTTTCAAAACACTTTCAAGTAAATTTCTTTATTTTTTCTCCACTTCACTCCTTTCTGGTTTTTTGAATAATAGCTTAATTGAGATATAATTCATATACTATAACCTTTACTGATTCTTAACCTTATATAAATAGTAAGAGACAAACTTGATATTAAAGAAAAGTGTTTATTTTATTGTTTATTTATTTATTTTTAAAGATTTTATTTATTTATTTGACAGACAGAGATCACAAGTAGGCAGAGAGGCAGGAAGAGAGAGAGGAAGGGAAGCAGGCTCCCTGCTGAGCAGAGAGCCCGATGCAGGGCTCGATCCCAGGATGCTGGGACCATCATGACCTGAGCTAAAGGCAGAGGCCTCAACCCACTGAGCCACCTAGGCACCCCAATTTTATTTTTTAATATTTTATTTATTTTTTAGAGAGAGAGAGAGAGAAAGACTGGGGAGGGGCAGAAGGAAGAGGAGAGAGAGAATCTTGAGCTGGCTCCAAGCTTAGTGCAAAGCCTCACATGGGGCTGGAAGCAGGGCTGGGCTGGATCTCATGACCCTGAGATCATGACCCAAGCTGAAATCAAAGTTAACTAACTGAGCTTAACTGACGGAGCCACCCAGATGCCCCTTAAGGTTTTACTTTTTAAGTAGTCTCAACACCCAAACTGGGGCTCAAACTTAACAACCCCAAGATCAAGAGTTGCATGTTCCACCAACTGAGCCAGCCAGGTACCCCAGAAAGTCTTAACTTTAAAACAAACAACTCTTCAAGAGTCCATATTTCATTAATATCTAAATTTATGTTTGTGAGATAAATTTGAAAAGAAGAAAACATTTTGAGGCAAAGTTAGAAAGACAAAGTTTAAGGAGAGAAAAGGCATCTGAGAAATAATAATAAAAGAAATACTGATGATATAATACATTTATTACATATATATGTAATGTAATATAATATATCAGGGATGTATATTATATATTATATTATATATTATAAAGATAGATAGATAGAGCAGGAGAGTACAGGGGAAGCAAGGGAGTGTGAAGCCTATAAGTTTGGTTTAGTGATTATCAACAGGGCTCATGGGGGCTTCTGAGAGAGGATGGGAAAGATTAAGAGTCTAGCTAAGTTAATTTGGAAACAAGCCAGGTTTACATGTAATAAGCTAAAGAATTGTCTAAGAGGACAGGTAATTTAAGAAGGTGGTCAAAGAAGGCTTACTGCATAAGAAGCAAAGATAAATCAAAATAGACTGGTGTCCAAAGTTTAACTCAAGGGGAACAATAACTTGCGGTATATTCTTGTGATATAAAACAAAGACAAATGGCAGATACCCTACTAATCAAAGATTCATGCTATATTTCTGTGTTCTGTGTTTTGATTCCAGTCAGAAGTGAATGATTCACCAGGAAAACCACACTGAAAAAAGGTTGCTCCTTCAACATATACTAAATAATCTACTTCTAAAGACAAATATAATTATAGGATCCAGTTAAAGTAAGGCTTCTAAAAATCACATGCAGAGAAGAAATATGGTATTGTATTTGAACTTAAAATATGATCTCTTAAATTTTACCAACTGTTCCAAGCATAAAATATAGCTAGAATTAGTGTGATGATGATCCTATTATTTGATATTCATTTTAAACTTTAGAAAACTTAAAAATCCCCAGTGGATTTTTCACATCAGAATTTATTTCACTTAGCGTTCTTTACAAAACGAAGTTGTTGATTTTACTCAAAGTGGATTTAAGCACAATATAAATAAATTAATTCATGCCACTTTACTATAATTAGAGCATGATTAATTAACCAAACGACAACAACTACTACTACTACTACCAAATGTAGGGGGAAAACTTCAAGCTCCTTTTTTTTTCTTTACCACTCTGTACTGCCAATACAGTGTATTTTCACTTTTCAACCAAATTACTCCTTTTATATTATTTTTTCCAAAGAATCAGTCAGATTACTTTTATTAAACCTGATCATATCAGAATGTGTATATGGACAATTTAGTTATAATTGAGATTTCACAAATTATCAGAATTCTGTTCACTTGTTTATATTTTAAAATTAGTGGGTGCCTGGGTGGCTCAGTGGGTTAAGCCTCTGCCTTCTGCTCAGGTCATGATCTCAGGGTCCTAGGATCAAGCCCTGCATGGGGGCTCTCTCTTAGCAGGGAGCTTACTTCCTCCCTGAACTCCCCACCTCTGCCTGCCTCTCTGCCTACTTGTGATCTCTCTCTCTGTCAAATAAATAAATAAAATTTTTAAAAAATAAAAATAAATAAAATAAAATAAATAAAATTTAAAAAATTTAAAAGTATTTTAAAATTAGTTTACCTTATTAACATTTAAAAGTTATGTACATTTATGTATACTATGAAATCTTAGTAAAAAGAGAAAATGAAAATTCTGCTTGTTTAGATACTTTGAAATTTTTAAGATACCTAAATACATACAAAAATAAACCAACATTTCTTAACCTTTTTTGAATCACAAATGTCCCTGAAATTCTGATGAAAGCTACAGCTTCTTCTTTCCAGAAACAACAACAACAACAACAACAAACCAATGTGTATATGCACATGAAATTTTGCTTACAATTTTACAAAGTTTATGGACTCTCTGAGGTCTGTCTATGGGTCCACTAGAAATCCATGAACCCTAGGTTAAGATCCTCTGCAGTAAACCCACACTCTGCTCTGGCAAGATAGAAAACTTACCATTAGAAAGTAGGACTGTTTAAGTGTTCATTCTTTAGGGGCATGTATCTGAAAGGAATGATAAAAAAAAAAAATCCCTAAAAAACTTTGGTTCAGTTATCCCTCCTGTTTAGCCTTAAAATGAGGACCAATTTCCTTTGGGTCAAACCCCAAACTCTTAGTGTCTTGACTTTCTAAATGCTTGCAACTATAGACACTTTAATGAAATCCAAATGGGTGAAATTCAACACTTCATTCTGATGCTCTTTACAGATGTTCTTAATAAGGACACTGAAGAAGTCCTTAGAAGCCTTGCTTCACACATCAACCAAGGGAAGAAAGAATTCATTGGAAAATGAAGATGATAAGTAATTCTGGAGTGTTCCTGTACCAGTCAATATCAAGGACTTACAACATAAACCTATAGTCAACTTTGTAAGTAAACATGTAGTACACAGGGGTAAAGTCTATTGATAAATTCCTGTAGGAATAGTATTAGACCATACTATCTTCTGATGTTGAATATTTAAATTCTGCTCAGAATAATTTTCCCATAAGGACCTAATTTCTTCAAAGACATCTTTAAAAAAATGAATACAGGAAGAAGCTCAAACAATCATTTTTGTCTATCATAATATTAAAACAATTACTTTAATAGAAATGAAGACAATTTCTTTAATAGAAACCTTAAAAATGCTAAGATTTTATAGGTAAAATGGATATCATAACACCATCTAAGTAGCTTAGGTCACCATAATCATTCTGTTCTTCTGCTCCCTTTGTTTGCCAACAGTGGATAAAAGCTCACCTGATATTTGGCTTCAAAGCTCTGAATAGAATAGTTGCAGTCTGGGAAATTATTTCCCTGACCATTCTTTGAGACCATCTGGAGAGAAGGGTTTGCACACTTAGATGGACACAAAAACTTATGTTAAACATTTTTATCATATCATACGATTTTGCAACTCTGAAGTGAAAAAATACTCAATTTGTCTGACAAGATATTAATGTTATGGGCTCTTACAATTTTCAAGAGTTGTGTTGGCTTTACAGGAATGTGTGGAAGTAAGGCACAGTAATCTGAAAGGAAAGATCAGAAAGAAAGGTACTCAAGATTTTGCATTAGATTAGTCAGACTTGTGAATTCTGATCCAGAACCTGTCATTTTATTTCCTATAGAGCCTTAGGCAATTTACTTCACTCCATGACTACTCCCTCATTCATCTCTTTCTTCACCCATGAAATGAAGAAAATGCTGACCTACCTAATAAAAAATTGTGTAAATTTAATGTCATATCAAAAATACTCAAATAATTTTAAAGCTTATTCAGTTAAGTTTTAGCATTTGACACATTTGTAATTTTTATCTTATATCTTAATTAGAGATGGCTACAAAACAAGTGTGAGACATTGTCAATGTGTTTGTGCCTAACACCATCAATAATTAGAATAACATTAAGTTAGGGAGAAATATAGGTATTTGGGAAGGCAAGACTCTACAAGAGGCTTGAATCTCAGGCAAATCACTTCACTTTTCTTTACCTCAACGGTCTCATCTTCAAATGGGGTCCTAATCAATATCCGT